TAGATTGATAGATAGATATTATTCCTAAAAATTATATAATTATTTAAAAAAAATTGATTTAAAATATACCTTGTATGAACTATATAAAAATTTTTATATATGTATTTTTATACATTTAATAAATGTTGATTAATATAAGTACCTATATTTTAAATAACCCATAGTTTTCACTAAGTTAAAGTTCTGATTATTTAATGTTTTAAGAACAACAAAACTAAAATTTATTTTTAAATTGTAAAATTCTTGATAATATTTAATTTCTTCATAGAAATTTAATGGTAAAATGATAAATCAATTCCATAAACTATGTGCTATATTAAATTTAGTTCTAAAATAAGATTAAAGTAACTGGCTTTTTATGAGAAATAATTTAAGGCATTATACATTTTCCAGAATACTATATTTTTTAAAATAAAAAAATACAGATAGACCTTATTAATAAAACCAAATATTTGAAATTTGGTTTTATACTCTTACATAATAATATTTTTATAAAACATTTGACTTTCGGAAATGAAATTTTTATTTAATAAAATAGTGTTTAAAGGTCCTTTTAACCCATTCCTTACTTTAAATGAAAACTCATAACTTAAGCATCAAACATTTAATTGTTGAATATATCTGCTTATTTACATCTCATGCACATAATATATGTGTGTGTGCAATGTATCTAAACATGTTTTTAACATTTTACTTAGGTTATACTTATTGTAAGTTAATTAATTATAGTTTTTAGTATTATTGATAATAATTATTAGCAAGTATATTATTTATTGTAATAATTTATTTTTTGAAATGATGTTTATCATTTAAATATTTTATAAGTATATTACAGTAAATTATTTTATTTATTCAGGGTGTTGTCATGGGCGTCATGGATTCTGAAGTTTTAGTTTCTTTTCCTAATGAGTAAGTAATCATTCTTGATTTGATTTTTTAAATAAATGTATCTTTTTATATATTTTTTTTTTTACTAATTTATAATGAAGATGATTAAAAATAATTCAAATATTGTTGACCATAGGGAAATATTAAATAATTAACATGTTTAAGTCAATTTTAAGTATATAAGCATAATTGTATGTTAACTACATATTATAGGCAGCCTTATCTTGTTAAATTTACTTCATTTACTACAAAACCTAATAAAAACATTTATATTCATTAATTGTCTTAAATAAAGTAAAAATGAAACTTGAATCATTTTGTAAAATTTTAGTACAAGTGCTTTTGTTAATTAAAAGGCTAGAGTTATGTATTTTTCAAATCATTGCAGAGACGTCTTTCTTAATGGGGATAGTAAGTAGATGTTTAGGACAAAAATTTCTTTCGTGTTTAATTAATAACATATTTGTTTATAAGTTGTATACATAAAAATTTGTATATCATGTTATTATACAATGATACATCAAAATTATAAATGAATTTATTAAAAACTAATATTATTTATGGGTCGTTGTGTTTAAAAGCTCTGAAAAACTTATAATTTTTCTAATGAAAAATAAATAGCAAACCAGATTTTATTATGAGACATTAAAATCTTTTTAGACTAGGGTCAGATTTGCTATTCGTTTAATAAACATTTGTGTTAATTACAATTTACTAGTGAATAATTTTTGTTATTATAGCCTAGTATATTTTAAACATGTAATAGTGTCAAATTCTAAGGTTTGATTCCATCATGCTAGGTTTTCAGTACCCAGTTTGATAAATCAGCTTTTTAATAAAAATATGTTAATGAAAAGATGAAAAGATTGCATTTAAAATGATAATACAATTTTTTACATTTTCTTCGTATGTGTTCCCTAAACATTTATCTAACATATTTTATCTGGTTATTTTCATGTTAAAGGTTAATATAATTATTTAAAACAATTTATAATACATTATATTATTATGACTTCTCAAGAATTACTTTATTTTTACACTATTAAGGGGAAATTTACGAGAAAACTATAAATTTGTAACCAAAATAATATGCTTTCTTTTTCTTTTTTTTTTAAGTTTCAGATTTAAATTATTTGTTATCAAAGTTATTGCTAAATTAGAAAGGAAAGTGTTTAGTTCCTTCTCCAATTTCTAAATAATCAATATATAAATCTAAAAAATTCCAGAACATATCTTTTAGAATGTAGTTATAATCAAAATTATAAATATTTCTAAGGTAAATTAGAGTTAAGTAGGCTAAGAAAAGAGAAAATTAATAAATTGCAGAGTTAGAATCTTTAATACCTACTTTTCTCTTATTCCTTGTTCCCTAACTGGTTTATTTAGTAATATGTATTAAATTAGATATAATTTAAATTAAACTCTTGTTTATGTATTCAGTTAGATCATTAGATATTTTTATACTATCGAATGTAATTATTATAAAAATAATAAATTCTATTTAATCTATAATTAAAATTACTACATAAATTGGCCACAAAAATTACTTAAAGCCACAGATATGTACTTTGGGAACAATGTTACCATTAACATCGCTAAACACATACTGAATGTATGTGTTTTAGGGTTTCAATCATAGTTTTGAATATGTAGTATAGACACCTATTTATTATTACTATTTAATTTTATGGATTTAATCATATATATTACTTGTAATATAGTTCATTCACAAAAGGATAAATAAAAAAAAAACTATTTACCAAAGATTAAGTGATAATGTTAATTTTTAATGCATATAAATATGAAATTTTCTTTGTAATTTCTAGACCTTGTGAAACCATATTATATTAAGTTATTCTAAACATTTTCTTAAATTTATATGAATATATTTTTTTTAGTTGGTATCCTGAAACAAAGTTTAACTGTGGCAGTGTACGTCTTCCTATGGCTGACAGCCAATGTGGTGCTGAATTCACGGATAATCAAGAAGTTGAAGTAAAAACTATCAGAGACCCACATCCATGTTATGGATGGATTAAGGCAGTGATAAAAATTATAAGTGGCAATCCTCCTACTCAATTTGTCGTCCAACATCTCGACAGTACCTTTACTGAAATAGTTACACCTGATCGTCTGAGGTGCAAAAACACAAATCCTCATATTAATGCGAATACCTTTTTTAAATTTGATATTGATGTACCAGAAGATGTTAGAGAATGGTATGTGAATAATTATCTTTTTTATATTCATTAAATTGTTTAATTACTCATTAATCTAATTATTAAATAAATAAATTGTTTTTTTTTTTTTTAGTGCTAAGATTGATGGTATACATAAAGATTTACAGAAGGCAATTGGTGCATCACTGGTCATATATAATGTTGATCAATGTGTATTGAGTGTGATATCACGTTCCCCATTAACCAGTAAGCGAGCACTGATGCTTGCTGATATGCATTTTAGAAATCTTAACCAAAAAGTGATGTTGCTAAAAAAGACTGAAGAGTTAGCCAGACAACTAGAAAGTTCTAAACAACAAATTACATCATCATCATATACAGATGAATTTAAAGTTCGTGATGATTTAATGGGGTTAGCAATTGGTGCTCATGGTACCAATATACAGCAAGCACGCAGGGTTGATGGCATAACAAATATTGAACTTGATGAACACACTGGCATTTTCAAAATTTATGGAGAAGTATATATTTCAATTTATTTTTTATATAAATAATTTCATCATAACATGTTTAATAAAATATTTTATTAAAAATTAGAATAAAGAAGCTGTAATGAAAGCACGAGGAATTTTGGAGTATAAAGAAGAATTTTTACAAGTACCAAGAGATTTCATAGGAAAAGTAATTGGTAAAAATGGTCGTAATATACAAGATATTGTAGATAAAAGTGGAGTAGTGAGTATTCCATATTAATAATAATATTTATTTACATCATATACTTAAGTTATATTTTTTTTTATTTCCGCTTAGATCAGAGTAAAAATTGAAGGTGATAATGAACCCCAACCCACAATTCCTCGTGAAGAAGGTCAAGTTCCATTTGTTTTTGTTGGTACTGTAGAGAGTATATCAAATGCTAAAGTTTTACTTGAGTACCATTTAGAACATCTTAAAGTAATTACTTTTTAACTATTTTTTTTACTACCATAACGTTGTTGAATTTATTATATTATATTTTACTTTTCTATTTTAGGAGCTTGAGCAAATTAGGCAAGAAAAAATGGGAATGGAACAAGAATTACGTAGTATTCATAGTACTGGACCTTCTTATCCTCACCAAATGATGCCAAACTACACCACACAAAGGCGAAATGATCGGTAAATTGATTTATATTATTAAAATAACTAGAAACTTAAGTTAAGGGACAGTGTAACTGAGTCGGTAATGTGGCAGTGCTTGACACACACCACTGCCTCAGGTTTGAAACTCAGTGATGAGGGGCTTCATTTGCCGAACGAGAGATTAGTTTGGTTATTGGAGTTACCATCTCTCTCTCTCCAGCGATGGACTAACCACCCATCCCAGAGTATCAATGGTTAAGAAACCTCCTCCTTTGGGAAGGCCGCTATGGCCTTAATGGCCTGATAAAGCAATTAAAAAAAAAAAAAAAAACTTGAGTTTCTAAGTCTCATAGAAAAAATATTTTATGCAATAAAAAAGAGTCTTAAGATATTATTTTAAATTAATTAACTAATTTTAACTATAAGCAAAATAAATTATCACTGTTTGTAAGTACAAAAGGTAAATTATATATTAATAAATAATTAGGGAGATCATGATAATAATTTATATATTAAATATTAAAATAAAAAATTTATTTTATTTATTTGTTTTAGTAATTTTAACCCTGATAGTGATACTATGAATAATGGAATAGGAGGTAATNCACCCTCTTCTCAACGCCCAAATCAGTACCAATATAACAATCGTCAAGGAGGTCAGGGAAACGTACCTAGAGAACGCCGTGGAGGCCCAGGGAATTCAGCTCCAAGAGGCAATAGGGGAATTGGCAACAGACGTGCTGATGAAAGAAGGAGAACAGCTGATGATGAAAACACTGTTCTTGATAATGCTCAAGATAGTGGTGATAGAGGTTAGAATTAAATTCAAATCAAAAGATTTAATCTTTACTTTTGTTTTATTTTTATTTTTTTGGCTTGGAATCTATTAAAAATAATTCAATTACTAAGGAATGGATTTACAATTTTTATTTTAGTAGAGTAGAGTAGATCGCTTTCAATGTTAAAATTATGAGCTATATAGTTTTTAGAGTATTCAAATAGTTGTTAAATCATTGTTATTTAAGTAAAATTTTTATTTTATTGAGTTGAATGAAATAATTTTTAAGTTTTGTATTATTGTTATTACTTGATTGCTTCAAAAGAATTTTATGTTTAGAATTTAAGGCATCAAAAACGCTGATTTTATTAAATTAAAAGTATTTCTTTCATTAATTGTGAGTTTGTTAGGTACAAATCAAGCATAAAATTGTTTTTTTTTCTTATGGTGATAGAATCTAAAATTATTTTTAAAAAAAACTTTTTTCTCTTGATAAATTTGTATATATTTTTTTATTTGCGCTAGAATCTGTGTCTAGCGTGGACGCGCAAGTACCAAAGTCAAAAAACAGTCAAAAAAGAAGGAATCGCGCCATAGCTGCTGCTCAAGGTGAAAATTCAAATAATTTTAATAAAGGCATTAGTAATGATAGTAACAAATCTAATGACTGTAAGTAATGCTTAAATAACCAAAAAGCTTTGTTCAAATAATACAGATATAAGTAAATATTTTGTAACATAAAGCAAACACCCAATTAAAAATTAACAAGTTCTTTGTAAATTTATTCTAAATCTGTTAGTAACATATGTGAATGCTGCTTTTAGATTCTTAGTAAGCATGGTTAAAATTGTGTAGAATTTAACAATGTGTAAATTATTTATTAGAATGTCATTTAAATAGATAGTTTTTTTTTTTTTTTTTTTTTTTTTTTTTTTTTTTTTTACAGCATTAAATTAATTAAACAATAATTATTTTATTTCTTTATTACCAAAGTATTAAATAAATATTGTTTTTGAGGTGATTAAAACTTACTAACTGTTGGTATATGTAATGTTATTAAATGTTTGTTAAAAATCTTTAATTAGTTAATTATCAATAGTATTTGTTCAGATCTTGCTGACCAGTCATATCTCTTAAAAAGCCTGTATTAGTAGTCACAAAAATCCCAATTAATCAAATCAAAATTGTTGACAGTGTAACCGATTAATCTTAATTAAATATTGGTTTTGACACAATCTGTTTTCATAAAATAATTCCAATTCATTTCAATGTAATGATAACATTAATTATATTGAGTGGTAAAGGTAACATTTTTCTTTGGACAAACCCTTTAATCCCAAAAAATAAGATTATTAATTTTGCCATTAGTCTTTGAGAATTTTCTTTATATATAGTAAAATATATTTACAAAAAAATTATTCAACTTATATTTTACAATTATTAAAAAATAAAATAATCATTTTAAATTAATTAAAATTGTACAATTATTGTATAGTTTTATTACTATGTTATAACTAGTGATGTACAAACTGTTTGATTTGAAAATCAAATTACTAAAATCAAATATTTTACTTGAAAATGATCAAGTATAATATTTGGTACGAGTAAGATGAAATATTTGGAATGTTCAGTTCAGTTTGTGTCCTATAGAAAAATTAAAAGTTTGGTTTGACATTGTTCATAAAATTCTAAGTACAGTTTAAAAACCAGATCTTGTAAGATTGCTATCTGTAACTAAAAAATTTTTAGTTACAGAATAATATTTCATATTCTAACAAATCTATTGTTAATTAGACCAAATTTATTGCTTAAAACACTAGAATATTACTATATCATTAGATGGTAAAAAAATATATATCTTGAAAAAAATACGATTGTCAAACCTGTAATACTAAAAAAAAAAAGACAAAATCAAAACCCTTGTAAATAATTTGGTTGCAAATACTTATTCTAAGTTTCTATAAAATTGGTTCTAAATTTATAACTTTATTTTTAGGGGATTACGATCTCAGAAAAGATAATATTGAAACAACCAATTCATCTCAAACCAATACTAATAATGGTAATACAAATGGTAGCAATACTAATGGAAATAGCAAACCATCAAAAAATCAAAGATCTAAAGGTCAACAAAATAAATCTCCATCAAAGAATAAGTCCAACAATGCGACTACTGCTAATGGACAACAAGCTGTTACAGTTAATGGATCGTCAACAGCACCTGATGCTGACTCTGCTTAAAAGTCTATAAATTATTTATTATATGTTATAACATCTAAGAAAAACACTACTATATTTTAATATTGTTTCTGAAACAAATCTCTTGGTCTAAATATCAAACTATTATTAATATTTCTAATGAAATGTTTTAAAAAGAACTTAATTAACAAAAAAAAAANGTTTTTATTTCTATCTTATTCATTTTTTAAATTGGACAGCCATTTTAAAAAAAAAAAAAAAAAAAAAAATAGCGTCCTTTAAATGCGTGGAGAAAATTTAATTGTAATAGAATTTTTTTTTTCCTACACTTGATTTTTATATTTTTATTTCTCAATTTTCCTTTATAAAATAGTAAAGATTTATTAAGGATTTCTATGTTTTCTAGTTCTTGCATTGCATGACAATATGTATGTTTATGTATATATTTCATTTTTGTTAGAAAATCTTTATTTTTAATTTAAATTAAAATACTGTTGAAGAAACTGTTATGTCAGTTATTGAGTAAAAAAAATTTAAAGTGTTTTCTATCAAAAATAAATGTATATATATATATATATAAACATATAGATAAATAAAATATATATTTATACATTTTTCTATTAACAATGCATTGTACATTATTTTATTTTGAAATTATAATTTCAAAGAAAATACATTGCCATTAATTGATTTTTGTTAAAATTATCTTATGTGCTTATTTATCACATGCATTTAACATAACAGTTTTCAGTAAACAAAAAAAAATAACATCTATTTACATGTATATATATATATATATTATTTATATACAAATTTACTTGTTAAATATGCATATATATTTATATATATATATATATTTTAATTACATTTTTTGAAATAAATTATGTATCTTTATTTAACAATGGATATACTTATTTGTAATTACTTGATTATTAACTTTTTTTTATAGTCTGTTAGTGATATATAATAACAGTTTGTATTAAAGTCATGTATGCAAAATGGATAATACTTAATAGTTTTAAAAATACTATTAAATAGTTTATCTAATTTATTAAGTAATTTAATATTTTCTCTACTCATTAGATCAAAACAAACACAATTTGGCTTTGTTTATAATTATAGGTATTTATTTTTATTTTTTAAAACTAATATTAGTGGATCTATAATTATGTTAATATCATTCTTTATTACATAAATTATTATGGGTGTACTGATTATAATTAATTAGTCAAGCACTATTCTACAAATAATTATATAATAAATATATGTTAAATTATATTTATATAATTTTTTTGTAGTATAAGAAAATTGTTATGTAATAACCTAATTGTATCAAACTTTATTGAAGGGAAAATATTTTGATTGTAAAACTAATCTACGAGTAGAAGATCACTCATTATGTCTTAAATTTCTATGTCTCAAATGTGAATGGTTGAGTAATATTGGCACCTTGTTAAATGGATTTAGCAGAGCTCATCCAGCATAGTGTTTTTTGTAAGTGACTTTTTCAATTATGTATACATTTAATGTAACCAGTATAAATTGAAATTATGCCTATTCTGTAAACATATATTCATATGTGATCTTGTATGAAAATAATGTATACTATATAGGATTAAATGGTATTTATAAATCTCATAATATATACTATTAGTTATAGTATAATTTATGAATGTAATAAAATATACTTATTATAATTTTTTGCATAATAAATAAACTGTAAATTTTTTCTGAAAACTGTTAATATATATTATTTTTGTCTTTCCATTAATTTTTTTCTAATTAAGACTTCACAGTCTATAGGTTTTTATATTTGTTAGTTATAAAATAATTAGTTTAATGTATGGTTGGCACAATGTTAATTGACTGGTCAAATAACTAAAAAGATGTCGACTTGTATTAAAAACAAAAAGTCTGTATTTAAATTTAAAGTTTTTATTATATAATACTATATTTTTAGACATTTAGTCTTTATTTTATGATAGTATTATTTTACTTTTTTCCAAAACTGGGCACTAAAACGTTAAAAAATAGAAAGTTAAGTTAGTTTAACGTTTTAACTTAACTAAATATCTTAAGTTTTATTCTTTAATAAGTTAGTATTTGTGATTAATAGATTATTTAATATACTAAAATATAATGAAGTTTTCTTGAGAAATTTAAAATAATAAATAAATATATAAATAGTACCTAGCATGAAAGTATCAAACTGTCTATGTCTTAAACTGCAACAGCAGAAGTAATATTATTAACAATAGTAACAGTAATATTATAAAATGTATATTTATAAATTAGATTTCCTTGTAGTTTTTATGGTAGATAGTTAAAATTGATCTTCCTTTCTGATAAAAATTAACCTTTTATATGGACAACAAAAATTTGATAGCTAATTTAATTTAGAGAGAAAAGTTATTATTGCTATTTAAAATAACTAATAACTTTACTTAGATAACTATTAAACTTAGTAACTTAGTGATGAGTGAACGATATTTTTATTTTACAAATCTATCTTAAATAGGATTCTTTCACTGGATACCCTCCCTTCTCAAGTTATTTTAAATAAGCTGTGTAAAATATCAAATTTGTTTATTAAGACCTGTGTATAGATAAATATGTAATTAAACTATTAATAAAAAAAATCTAAAATAAGATCACAAGTTAGAAAAAATTACTACTTGTCCAGACTAAATATTAAATAAAAGAAAACTGATAGTTTGATTAAGAATAATAATAATAATTTTTTTTACCGAATTTGACATGTGATAATATAGTCAATTAACCACTGAAAATTTTAACCGTTCAAAAACTCAACCCTAGTATTATGTATTGGTTAAAAATTGCTACTTTTTAAAGTTAATCCTACCACTTCCATTACGTGTTAAAAAATAGTTTATCAAACTAATTACTATTTATTAAAATATGCTAGAATGCAATTATTTTTTAAGTATTGGAATACGTTTTGTATTTAAACATATTCTATAAATAAACAGACTTTTTGGATGACAATAAAATATATATTTTTTTTATTAAAAATAATGATGTCAATGTTTCGTATTTGGTCTCGATATTATAATTATACCGATATTTTGTGAATTTCTATGCTTACCATAACTTATGTTTTTCTTTGATTATCAATGGTTTATTTGAGTAGTTGTTAGCAGCCATAAATGCAAATAATTGCATTCAATTTGTATCCCTATAGTAAGGAATAATTATTTATTTTTATAATTATTTTGTTAATTTATAAAAATATCGTTATTCCCTATATATATAATATCGATATTTACACATTTTCACCTTAGCACGCCTAATGATTTTAGCATCGATGCGAAGCTGAGAAGGTATTGGTTTTACTATGATGTATTGTTTTNCCTAATTGTATCAAACTTTATTGAAGGGAAAATATTTTGATTGTAAAACTAATCTACGAGTAGAAGATCACTCATTATGTCTTAAATTTCTATGTCTCAAATGTGAATGGTTGAGTAATATTGGCACCTTGTTAAATGGATTTAGCAGAGCTCATCCAGCATAGTGTTTTTTGTAAGTGACTTTTTCAATTATGTATACATTTAATGTAACCAGTATAAATTGAAATTATGCCTATTCTGTAAACATATATTCATATGTGATCTTGTATGAAAATAATGTATACTATATAGGATTAAATGGTATTTATAAATCTCATAATATATACTATTAGTTATAGTATAATTTATGAATGTAATAAAATATACTTATTATAATTTTTTGCATAATAAATAAACTGTAAATTTTTTCTGAAAACTGTTAATATATATTATTTTTGTCTTTCCATTAATTTTTTTCTAATTAAGACTTCACAGTCTATAGGTTTTTATATTTGTTAGTTATAAAATAATTAGTTTAATGTATGGTTGGCACAATGTTAATTGACTGGTCAAATAACTAAAAAGATGTCGACTTGTATTAAAAACAAAAAGTCTGTATTTAAATTTAAAGTTTTTATTATATAATACTATATTTTTAGACATTTAGTCTTTATTTTATGATAGTATTATTTTACTTTTTTCCAAAACTGGGCACTAAAACGTTAAAAAATAGAAAGTTAAGTTAGTTTAACGTTTTAACTTAACTAAATATCTTAAGTTTTATTCTTTAATAAGTTAGTATTTGTGATTAATAGATTATTTAATATACTAAAATATAATGAAGTTTTCTTGAGAAATTTAAAATAATAAATAAATATATAAATAGTACCTAGCATGAAAGTATCAAACTGTCTATGTCTTAAACTGCAACAGCAGAAGTAATATTATTAACAATAGTAACAGTAATATTATAAAATGTATATTTATAAATTAGATTTCCTTGTAGTTTTTATGGTAGATAGTTAAAATTGATCTTCCTTTCTGATAAAAATTAACCTTTTATATGGACAACAAAAATTTGATAGCTAATTTAATTTAGAGAGAAAAGTTATTATTGCTATTTAAAATAACTAATAACTTTACTTAGATAACTATTAAACTTAGTAACTTAGTGATGAGTGAACGATATTTTTATTTTACAAATCTATCTTAAATAGGATTCTTTCACTGGATACCCTCCCTTCTCAAGTTATTTTAAATAAGCTGTGTAAAATATCAAATTTGTTTATTAAGACCTGTGTATAGATAAATATGTAATTAAACTATTAATAAAAAAAATCTAAAATAAGATCACAAGTTAGAAAAAATTACTACTTGTCCAGACTAAATATTAAATAAAAGAAAACTGATAGTTTGATTAAGAATAATAATAATAATTTTTTTTACCGAATTTGACATGTGATAATATAGTCAATTAACCACTGAAAATTTTAACCGTTCAAAAACTCAACCCTAGTATTATGTATTGGTTAAAAATTGCTACTTTTTAAAGTTAATCCTACCACTTCCATTACGTGTTAAAAAATAGTTTATCAAACTAATTACTATTTATTAAAATATGCTAGAATGCAATTATTTTTTAAGTATTGGAATACGTTTTGTATTTAAACATATTCTATAAATAAACAGACTTTTTGGATGACAATAAAATATATATTTTTTTTATTAAAAATAATGATGTCAATGTTTCGTATTTGGTCTCGATATTATAATTATACCGATATTTTGTGAATTTCTATGCTTACCATAACTTATGTTTTTCTTTGATTATCAATGGTTTATTTGAGTAGTTGTTAGCAGCCATAAATGCAAATAATTGCATTCAATTTGTATCCCTATAGTAAGGAATAATTATTTATTTTTATAATTATTTTGTTAATTTATAAAAATATCGTTATTCCCTATATATATAATATCGATATTTACACATTTTCACCTTAGCACGCCTAATGATTTTAGCATCGATGCGAAGCTGAGAAGGTATTGGTTTTACTATGATGTATTGTTTTTATTATGTCAGTTACCACTTTTTCTCAGCTCTCACCGAACCGATTTCTTTCAAAGATACGTCAAAAGATCACAAATCGTATCTAGTCAAAGATATTATCCTCAAAAATTGAAAAAAATTCCCTCGTTCCCTGTAAATGGGGGGAACCTCCAAAAAAATTACAAATTTAAAAATCGCTAATTTTCAAAAATTTTTCAATTTTTTTTACTTAAAATTGCTATAACTTTTTTAAAAATAACCGAATCAATATAATTCTTTTTTTTATAGATGCATGATATCATTACCTTTCATTTGGTATATTTTTTTTATATGTGACCCTTTACTTGCCCACAGGGGGGGATTTAACACATGACAACTTTTTCACAAAAAATTATTTTTTTCAACTTGATTTTTGAAAATGTTCCGGAAGGTCTGACACTTATATATATATCTTAAATTAAAGCTAAGGTAATATACTTTATCATGAAAAAAAAAAATTTCGGACTTTATTTTATCTTTAGGGTGAAAATGGCTACCAAATGCTATTTTTGTGTGAAAATTTTCGTTTTTGTATTTTACATTTTTAATTTTATTATGCTATAACTATTTGAAAAATGTATGGATCAATACAATTTTTTCATGAGAAGTAGTATTTATATACATCTTTCATTCAACATACTGTTTTTTTAAATCGGACCATTTCCCTATATTTGAGGGGGTTCAAATCTAAAAAATGCATGTAGAAAGTAGAACTTTTTCAACTTAACTTTTGAAAGTGTTCCGGAAAGTCTGACACTTTTATATATATCTTAAATTAAAGCTAATGTAATATACTTTATAATGGTAAAAAAAAATTTCGGACTTTATTTTATCTTCATGGTGAAAACAGACATTAAACTTAATAAAAAAAATACGATTTTTGTAAAAAAATTCTTTTTTATATTTTTAACTTTATAATGCTATAACTTTTTGAAAGATGTATGGATCAATATAATTCTTTTTTTTATAGATGCATGATGTCTTTACCTATCATTTGGTATATTTTTTTTTTCATATCTGACCCTTTACCTGCCCACAGGGGGGGATTTAAAATGACAACTTTTTCACAAAAAATTTACTTTTTTAACTTAAATTTTGAAAGTGTTCTGACACTTTTATACATATCTTAAATTGAAGCTAATGTAATATACTTTATTATAGAAAAGAAAAATTTCGAACAGACATCAAAGTTAATAATTTAAAATATAATTTTTGTAAAAAATTACAATATTAAATTGTTAAATATCAATTTTATATTATATTTAATTACTATACTAAATATTTATTAATATATTACACTTATAAATCATAGAACTTATAATCAGGATTTAAATAGGAAAATAGGAGATGATGTTGCTTTTGAAATAATTCACCAATTCTTTTTTTATTTTTAACTTTATAGTGCTATAACTTTTTTAAATATTTATGGATAATTATAATTTTTTTAAGAATAGAACTACTTATATTCTTTTTTTATACGACATACTTTTTTTTTAAATCGGACTATTTCCCTTTATATATTTATATATTATAATTATATATATTCATATATTGCAATTGATAACATCGTCCCCCTCCCATAAAGTTTACATGAAGACGCTTCTGTCCACAAGTAGCATAAAAAATATTTTTTTGGGAAGGTGAGTAAAAAATATAACACATTTTATTTTGATAATTTTTTACGAATAAAAGTATCATAAGCGTATTCTAAAATAACATTACAGTTTATATTGATAATTTAAAAACCTAACTCAAATGTTTATTATAAAACCAGTTTTCCTGATTTTTTAAAATTTAAAATGTATAATTTTACCGTTGGATGCTCTTTATGACATTTATAAAAAAAGTTTTAACATAGATAGGAATATAAAACGGAGATAAAATGTAGAGTCAACAAAATTTAGAACAAAACGGCGTTACTATTATGATCGTTAAAAGTTATGATGATTTTGATAGAATAATAGTAAGTGGCTTCTTGGAAGTTTTATTCTTAACACGTCTATTTTTAATAGCTACAGGCTATTTACATTCTAATTACAAATAATGACTATTCCTTTATAAATTAGTATATTATCACCATAAGTTTCTTAAAATTTTTACCGTGTAATAAATAAATTATATTTAATTTTTCAATGGTTCATGTTCTTAAAATAGACATTGTTTAAGGAAATGGTATTTTTTCTGGTACAAAAATCTGCAGAATGTTGTTAATTAACGTATTTAGTCAGATAAATAATGAAATAATGATAGCCGATTTAATATTTTACAGATCATTAATAAATATTATAGTCTTATGTATTTGCATATCACTGAATACAAAAATTTGTTTTTAGCTTCGATGCGAAGCTGAGAAGGTATTAATTTTACCATGATGTGTTTTTTTTTTTTATTTTTTTTTTTATTTTTTATTTTTTTGTGTCCGTCACTACTTTTTCTCAGCTCTCACTGGACCGATTTCTTTTAACAATACGTCAAAAGATCACAAATTGTATCTAGTTGAAGACATTCCCCTTAAAAATTAAAAAATTTTCCCTCGTTCCCCGCAAATGGGGGAAATATCCAAAAAAATTACAAATTTAAAAATCGACAAATTTTGTCATTTTTTTCACTTTTTTTTCTTAAAACTTCCATAACTTTTTCAAAAATCAACAAATCAACATAATTTTTTTTTAAACTAAAACCTTAGATATTTTCCTTTCATTTGATATAATTTTTTTGAAAATTTAACACTTAACCTGCTCATGGGGGGGGATTTAAAATTGCAACTTTTTTACAAAAACTAACTTTTTCAACTTAATTTTTGAAAATGTTCCGGAAATACTGCGTCCTTTAAACATATATCAAATTAAAGCTTATTTTATGTACTATAAAATGAAAAAAAAAAATTTGTCCCGACACTTTATCTTCTGCATGTAAACGGTTGCCGTAGTTAAAAAAACACTATTTTTGTGTTAAAATTTTCGATTTTCAATTTTTAATTTTCAACTTAAAAATGCTATAACTTTTCGAAAAATGCATGTATCAGCACATTTTTTTTTTTCTAAATACATTATAAGTACATCTTCCATTTGACATACTTTTTATTAAAATTAGACAATTTCCCCTTATATAGGGGGGGTTCAAACTTTGAAACATTGTATAAAAAATAGAACTTTTTCAACTAAACTTTTGAAAATGTTCCGGAAATACTGCGTCCTTTAAACATATATCAAATTAAAGTTTTTTTTATGTACTATAAAATGAAAAAAAAAAATTTGTCCAGACACCTTATCTTCTATGTGCAAATGGCTGTCGAAATTATAAAAAAAATGTAATGTTTACGATAAAAATCACCTTCTATCGGAATGTTTTTTGTACTTAAAACTGCCATAACTTTTTCAAATATTAACTAATCAAAATAATATTTCTTTATATTGAAACCTTAGGTAATTTTCTTTCATTTGATATCATTTTTTTTTGAAAATCTAACACTTATTCTGCTCACAGGGGGGATTTAAAATAGCAACTTTTTTACAAAAACTAACTTTTTCAACTTAATTTTTGAAAATGTTCCGGATATACTGCGTCCTTTAAA